TGGCTCAGTGGTGGAGTGTCCCTGAGTTCTACTCCCCCACCTTCCAAAAAAAAAAAAAAAAGGGTGGGGGATGTAAAGGAGAAGCAGAAAGGTAAAATTCAGAAGCCCAGGAACTGGCCAGCTGATGCACCCAAGCCCAGGTAGCTGGACAAGGCCGGACAGCGAAAGGGAGACAGGGTCGTGTGACTCAATGGTTCCTGTTGATTCCCATTCTGTGATTCACGACTCCAAATTTATCTAAAGAGAGCATGGGTCCACTCAAGAAAGGGGAGGAATGATGTCATTGCCAAGTGGCTCCCTGGCTGGTGTCTGAATTCAAGCTTGGGTGGGTGACGACCCAATCACCATCAATCTGCAAACAAAATCAATTACTGGCATCTGCCCATCCCAGTTTTGCTGGTAGGGCCACACAAATGAATGCTGGTTCTCTTTCACACCACTGCCAAGTACTTTGAGACATCAGGAACTCCACCCCATACCTCACCTGAGCTCCCTGCGCAGCTCCTGTCTTGTGCCAGGCTGGATGGCATTTGTGGTGCATGTTTTACCGGAAGAGCCTTGTTATTTTGAAATGCATCTTCATGGGGCTGAGTTTATCTCTGTATCACTGATGAACCCAGCCTAATTCCATTTTAAGATTGGGAGTTCATTTCTGTTTTACTATAAAATACTAAGATTTCTATTTGGCCTGACTGTGTACTTTGATGATTTAAAAACTTGTTTTTTGGAATTCTTGCCTGTGCTCTGAACTCACCCATGTGTCGCTTTCCTTGGCCAGATAACAACACTTCCTAAAATATTAGTGGCCCTTCTGGCTCTCTCTGCCCAGATAACAACCCTCCCTAAAACGTCAGTGGCGCCTCATAAATTCTGATGTTGGAATCTCAACTTACTCCCTACCTTGAAATGTTAAGCCCTGTAGATCATGCTTTTGTATCTGCCTTTGTATTACGCTTGCCAGAACCCTGTTAGCTATCAGTTCCTAAGACACCGCCCCCCTTTATAACTTTTTGTGCTATAAAAGCCTTTGTTCTCCTGAGAATTGTTGCTGTCCTCTGGCCCTGCATTCTGGGCGAGGGAGTCGCTGGCCAACTCTCTCGTGTACACAATATAAACTTGCTTTGATTTAAAATTGGAGTTGGTGGTTCTTTTCTTTGTATCATGGCTCAACACAACCAAAGGAAGAATTTGCTAAGCACGTTCGTTGTCTAAGATTGCAGAGCAGTGTTTTAGCTTCTTAGGGGAAGTAAGTTTTCAAATGCCCTCAGTCCTTCAGAAAAATGACCAGATCAGTTACAAATCCATCCTTCCTCTTCACTAAGAGACTAAAAGGTCACCTCCAGGCAACTATTAGTGACTTCTAGTTGCTGTTTAAATAAACACCCTTGCTGGCAGGTGTGCTGATAACGCCAAGGTCGCGGGTTTGTTCCCTGTACGGGCCACCAAATGCCAGCAGTCTGGCTGGGCACAATTCAGGAGCCACTTGTCAAAAGAAACGAACTTTATTTTTAGAACCACACACCCAAACAAAACAGCTCCTCAGGAAAAACCTTCAGAGCCCAACTGCCACCACCGGCTTCCCACAAGCCTCTCTCACAACTACCAGCCTCTCCACCTCCCACAATCCTCCTGCTCTTGAGGCCAATTGGCTGGGTCGTGTGGGCAGAGCCAAAGAAGTCCCCCAATGAGCAGCTCCATGGTCTGAAAGGGCAGGGAAACAGCCCAATGAGCATCACCACAGAGGAGCCAATCAGCTAGATGTTGCTGGGGCCGCTGTGAGCCAATCATCAGCCTGCAGCTGGAAGTTTGCTGGGGCCCCTTCGGCTGTGGCTCTCAACACACCCTTAAATGTATTTCCTAAGAGCTTTTATTCCCAGGGACAGAGGGTAGGAAGGTGTGTGTGTGTTGATGAGTTTGTTGTAGGGAATGGTTAGGAGAAGGATGTGGCTTCCTTAAGTTTGGTCAGGGAGATGGAGAACACCTACTCAACTGCCTACCAGGCAGGTCATCTAAGTGTGCCCAGTGGGCTGGGAATACTTAGGGCAAAGGGGGCACTGGTAATGAGCTAGGGAATCTATACCCTCCCCAGCCATCTACTTAAAACAAAATTTTTCCATATTTTTTTAATTGGTATGTTACAGTTGTCCATAATGGTGGGATTTGTTACATATTTGTGCATGCGCACAGAATAACAAAATAATTTGGCCCATGTCACTCCCCACTATTTCCCCTCTCCCCTCCATCCTCCCTCCCCCAGTCCCTTTCTTCCGCTGTAATGATCTTAGATTTTCACGAGATCCACCCCTGCCACCTTTCTTTTCCTTTCTAGCTTCTACATATGAGAGAAAAACACATGATCCTTGACCTTCTGATTTTGCCAGCCATCTACTTTGGCAAAAGGAGCTGGATTTTATTGGCAGATAGCCATTTTGTGATGTTTTTCTTAATTGTTGAGTTATGAAATGCCTAAGAGGGGTGTGACTGGGTGAGCTCATTTGAGACTCAGGGAGATGCTAACAAGATCTGAAAGCTGAATGGGGAGATCAGCCCACTTAAAAGAACACAGCAAGCAGGTGTGGTGGCGCACACCTGTAATCCCAGCTCCTCAGGAGGCTGAAGCAGGAGAATCACAACATTTGAGGCCAGCCTTGGCAACTTAGTGAGACTCTGTCTCAAAAACTAGAAAGGATTGGCTGGGGACATCGTTCTGAGGTAGGGCAGTTCTTAGGCATGAAGTCCTTACGTTCAATCTCTAGTCCTGCAAAAACCCAAACAAAACTACACAACAACAACAAGGTTTATTACCCACCTTATTGAAAGGTGGGTCTGTGCCTGGCGGAGGGGCTGGTTGAGGCAGAGAGCAATGTGCTCATGTAGAGTAATGGGAGGAAATTTGAGGGGTGGGTGTTCTGAGGACGGAAGACAAGTGTGACTGAATGGGTCTAATGAGAGCGTAATGAGAAATAGGGAGGGTGAAAAAGCTCTCCTGGGTCTCAGGTGAGCTATTGAGATGCACTAATGCAAGGTGGAAGGTGCTTGATTTGAAAGGATGAAGGACCAGAAGGAAGGACATAATCTGACAATCAAAGGAGCCCAATGCAGAGAGGAGCGCGATCAAGAGGGCCAAGGGCATAATGAAAAAAATAAACCCCAGGCTATAACTAACTACCATCTTAGAAAAGACATTGGTGTCTTGAGTCTTTGAGCTGCAGCTTCCATAAAGGATACAAATGATAAAGCACCCATTCTTCCTCTTCTCTCTGCTCAGTGGCAGAGAAAACAGACTACTGTGCAGTGTGAGCATTTAGGTGACCAACTCTTGACCTGGTGGACCATATAGGAGGGTAGTTGTGAAAGATTCTGGAAAGCAGGTGGGCTCAATCTGGACTTCAGTGACTGAATTCAACACCCTGTCCTGGAAACACCATCTTCTGTACCCACCTTCCCTCCATCATAGCCACTTGCTGAAGGCCTGGCTTAGGGACATTTTTTTTTTTTAAGATAAACACAATACTTTTATTTATGTGGTGCTGAGAATTGAATGCAGTACCTCACAGGTGCTAGGCAAGCACTCTACTGCTGAGCCACAACCCCAGCCCGACTCAGGGATCTTTAACTGTCACCTTGAGCCCTGCTTACTTCAGTGGCTCTGCTGTCCAAACTACCAGTGCTCCAGTCGCTAGGATCATCCCTTGCTGATCTAGTAATTGGCCTTATGTTATTAATGCTGGTGAAACAGTTGCAACCTCATCTAGGCAGTAAGACTTTCAGTCAGTGGTGGAAAATTCTAGGCAAAGAGAGCTCTATCTAAATCACTATTTTAGTAAAAAGGGGAAAGTTTTAAAGACTCTGGAGCTTAGTTTAAGCCCGTTTCCCCCTGCCAGGAAGCTCTCTAGTCAATGAACCTGTCAATAATGCTCAGGTATCTAGACTTGGGTAAGTGCCCTTGCACCTTGGTTTTTATTGAACGCTAATGCTGTGATTATCCTGTTAACCTATTCTCTAAACCCTGCTTCTAATGTAATCCCAAGATCACCTGGGAACTTGGAGAATATTTAAATACTAGGCGTCTACTCCATACCTGTTAAATCACATCTGCTGGGACGCAGCCAAGTCACTTGTGTTTAACAAACTCCCCAGGTGGTTCTGATCCAAGCTCAAGTTTGGGAGTCACTGTTCTAAAATACACAGCAAAGAGTGAAAAGCTGAGATACTAAGCAGAGTGGACCAGCTCATTATGGTTCTTCTATCCCACTTGGCTACAAAGTCCCACATCAAGACTCTGTTCTGAAAAACAGTACAAAGCCTTATCGTATTGGAGATGGAGAACAAAGGAAGACATGACAATTTGAGTGTCTACAGTTTGGCAGTCACAGGCATGTCACGTACCATTTAATCTTTGCAACGATGAGGCTGTCACTCTTTTACTAGAGGAGGAAAGCTCAAGGATGCAGACTATGGGCATCTTCCCCCACGAACTCCCTACCCACCTGCCATGCCCTTCAGAAACAACCTCCAAAACCTCCAAACCATGTTAAGAATCATGGGCTAAACAGACCTTTTTAGCTTGTCAATCAGAATCTTTTGGCATGCAACCTCATCCTAGTCTTCTATTTCTACAATTTGTAGAATTGTTGAACCAAATAAATGGAAGAAACTACTGTCAACTCTTGATTAGCTGCACCACTGAAGAGGAACAGTGACGTGGTGGATTTAAAGAAAAAACTGGCTGTTTGACTTTAGAATGTATTGATTTTTTTTAGTAGATTAACTTTTCTAATTATATTTTGCACAGTCTAATATTAATAGGCATTTATATTCCCTGAGCACACAATATTTGACACATTGAGAGTCGGGAGATGCAGTAGGCAGTTCAAAAATGTGCTGGTCTGGGAGAATGACAATGTTGTTATGGAAAATCTACACATGGATAATGAAGAGGCTACTAATCATAAAGTGCTCTGCAAATCCTAAATCATAAACAGAAAATGCAAAATGGAAACTCTCTGTGGACATATGAACAGAGTAAAATTCTAAATTGGACAAACTTTTAAGAATCATCTTAGTGTTAATCAAACGTGATGAAAAACTTAGGATGCAAAGAGGGTCAATGAATTTTTCTTTCAGGGAAGAAAACCTTAAGCAATAACACCAAGCATTTTAAAAGAGTGTTTAAAATGAATTTTATTGTTTGAATTTTACAAGTAGTCTTTAGAGGCTTTAAACAAGAACTCTTGCAAAACTCTAATAAATAGCTTGCCCCAAGTCCCCAAAGGAAATGGAAAACAAAATGAAAACAAAACTCAGAAGGATAAGCAAGACTTCAGAATGCTTGGATGTTAGCAATATTTCTCATTTACAAAGAGATATCAGGCAATGTACAATCTCCTTTATACAAGTTAAAGAGAGAAAGAGACAACTGAAATCTTTACAAAGCACTCCGAAATCTTCCTATTTCCATAATAGAAATGTTACCAGGAAAAAAAAGTCCCATGGAGAAACCACAATCATGAATGAAACTATAGCATAAAAATCTGGTAGTGGGTATGGCGGGGAGAAAGAGAATCCATCCTGTTTCTTTCAGGGATGGAATAAGGAATGAGTTCATATCACTCAGGGCAGGGAACTTCCAAGCATATGCCACTAGACTGCTGAATGTCCCCTTAGGCCAGAGTCACCCCTAAAGGGGCAAGGGGTCAGTTTAGTGGCAATTATGAAGGCAAGAAACAAGGGGGTGTTCTCGGGTCAGTCAACACTGGTTGGCCTGTCTGTGTTCTGCAGCGGTGACTGCCCAGGGGCTCACAGCAGCCTGCACCACTAGACAGGAAAAAAAGCACATTAGGAATTTCTGCAGCAGAATCCTCTGGATGACCACAAAAAGATGCAGAAAATGCCGTGCTTAGATTTCACACTGGGACATGCAGATTTCAAAAGCCCATTCTATTACAGTCGGTGCTCCTAACAAGCAAGGATTAAAATTCATGATTTAACATTCACTGTTAGCTTTTCCTAATTACAAACACTGGTGAAGTCTTGCTTTGGAGAGGAAGATTTATTAATATAGTCATTTTTAGCAAGCTTAAAAATTTTTTTCTACATCTTTAGCTTTAAAAACCTCAAACAAAAACTATGTATATTTTTGACCAAAATGCATACAAGTATGGTTTTAGTTGGCAGAATTAGGAAACCAATGAATGTTTGGAGCCAGGGAACTATAGAGAGTTAATTCCAATTTAGTGGGACTTACTTAAGCCAAACAAAAAAGAGCCCTAGCAGAATGGTGCACCCGAAACCATCTCCCTGGGAAAGAAAGAGCAGGAAGTGACATCACAATGAAGGATCACAGGGGTGGGCCCTGCAGGCCTGATGATGTCCCTCTCTGGTTTACTGACTTGCTGTATAAAATGACCCCAATTTGGCTGGTCTCTGAAAAGGACAAACAGCACCAGCTCACATACAAGTCCTTCAAGGGAGGGGGGGCCTTTACTCAAAGCTCCTCCCTCTCCAGGCATTTTTAGGAAAGAAGTTAAGGAAACACCCCTCCCCACTCCCCAAATAAACGAGTTAAAAAAACTTGGCTTTCTTAGGAACAATGACACTTGTTAGATTACAGGGAAAGCTTGGGTTACCTGAAATAGATAAGAAAGCTGATGGGAATAGAGGCAGATGGCCAGGAGGCACCCTGGTCCTAGGCCCAGTTTCTGTTTAAATACATAACAGATAAAGATATTGTGCAAAAAAATAAAGACATTCACATTTTAGCAGTTAAACTTTTATTTTACTTTTTAAAATTTTTATTTACTTATTTTTTTCTTTTCTACAAAAGGCAGATAATGATTGTTGATCTGCAAATGTTGTGTTGTGCACTCCTGAAGGGGGCGGGTGGGAGGCTGGGGAAGGTGCTGAGAATGCTCCTAAAGGCGTGAGTGAGGGGCTTCAGGGAACCCCCAGAGAGCACGCCCTGCGCCCTCCTCCTCTCCCGCAGCCGTCCCTAGCTCATGTCTATAGTGTTGAAGACCCACTCCGTGAACTTCTTCAGCTTGTCCGAGGCGTTCTGGGACTCCTCCTGCAGCCTCAGGTTGTCTTCCCGCAAGTGCTGCACTTCTGCCTGCAGGTGGGCTTTGTCCTCCTTTTCCTGGAGATGGAGCAAGTAGAGGAGAACTAGCAAGGGGGCCCTACCTGGCTTGGGCTGGGGAGGAGGAGCCAAGGGTCACTTTATCTACCCATTTCCATTCTTTATCCCACTAAACCCTGCATATATGGCCTCTGTCCTGGGGCTAAGCCATTCTATGCTCAGGGAAGAGAGCTTCCAGAGAGCTTCAAATCTACAGTATTGGCTTGGAATGGAAATATAGTGATGTGTATTTAAGACTCGGTTAACAAGAACTAACCTGAATTTTAGGTCATTGTTTTTATGGCTACTGTCTTGATCAAGTTTAAGACACCCAAGAAACAAAATGGCATTCAGTTCTCCTAGTGTGAAAGCCCTAATAACAAGGGCCACATGGGAGTCTGGACTGACACATCGCACAAGGGGTGGGAGGCCAGGAGAGGGCTGGTGGGGTGGGGAGCTGAAGTGCAAAGGCCTTCCCCAAATGGGAACCACTTTTCTGATGTGTGATAGTGAAGGCCTTCTTGCAGAATGTCAGCAGGACCTGAGCTCAAAGCTACCCCTCAGCGTGTGCACAGAAAACTGTGCACAGAAAACTGTGCAGTGACACCATTTTAAGGGCTCTCACAGTTCTAGGGCAGTTTGCTCCCACAGACAGGCAACTTGTTCTGAGAGTTATGTTTACCTTCTTCAGATCCTCGCGAAGCATCTTCAGCATACCTTCCAACTGGTCCACTTTAGAAGCCAGGGTGGGAGAGGAATCCTTACTACTGGGAATGAGAAACAAAAGGCTGCATTGGCAGGAGCCTCCAAGGCTGGGTCTCGGACCAGCCCAAGGCTGAGAAGGCTGTATTCATTTGAAAAAATGGATTTCAAGTGAAATTACTCAACATGATAACCCAATGTGCAGTTTCACTTTAAAAAAAGAAAATGATGATCTTAACAAAAGGTGTCACAGGCTTGAAATACAGCTAATCAATAGCTTCCTTTGTTAAAGATGCTGCATCTACTGAAAAAAGAATGTGACAATAAGCGAAAAAGGTCTCTCTGGCAGCACAAGAGGTACTTAACGGCAGATCCACAGTCACATGGCATAGTGATTCCTGAGGGATCTCTTCTGGGGGCTCAGGGAAGAGATACTCCTGTGGGGGTGGAGTGGGGCCGACGCAGGATCTGTTTGGGGCCACTAGCACAGGACAGGTTGCTGGTTCCCCCAAAACTGGGCTGTAGTCACGAGCGTGGCTGCAGCTAAGTCATCGTGCCCATGTCTTAAACACTAATCTAAGCATCTTAAAATATTTGAAAAATAAGACTACATGTTTTAAAAGCTTGTCAAAGCTTAAAGTCTTACATTCTGTGCCATTATGATCACAGTTTTCTTACGTTCTATCTGAAGTGCTAGTAATACTGTGTGGGGCGGGTACTAACAGGTGCTGAAGGACAGAGGCCACCAGCCTCCAGTGGGACTCCACAGCCAGATATGCTCCCACCCAGGGCCAGGAACTCTATCAGCTTCCTGCCTCACCACCTCTACCTGAATCCAAGCTGCCGACAGCTTCCTGAACAAGTTCAGCTAAGTCACTCGATCTCAGTCACACCACAGAGACTGCTGGAAAAACACACACCTCTCTTTCCAGAGGCCAAGAGGGAAGAGATGGCGGCTCTGTATTTTCTCAATCATGGAATAAAAGGCATTCTTTACTTCAAAGTTCAAGCTTGTGATACCTCCCTAAAATGAACTGTCATTCTTTCTTCTCATTCTAAGTCTACAACAGCTCCAAAGAAAATCCAGAGTGGCATGGAGGATGAAAAGGCTGCTGGCCAATGAATGATGATGTCCTCCAGACTTCTAAGGCAGGACAACCAACTAAAGCTGACAACATATGGCTTTGAAAAGAAAAGCGGTTAGCAGTAATCCACAACATAATGTGGTACAACAGGCAGGCCAGTTTTGGGGCAGGTGGAAGGTCAAAGACATAGTAGGATAAGACACTGGCAGATGGGGAAAGAAATGTCCTCAAAAAGCCACTGCAGGCTGTCAGGCTGATGAAACTCTCAGGAGCCTACCTGGACTTCTACAGATTCTTCAAAATGAGTAACATGTCTGTGAGTGCACTGGTAGCATTTAAAATATATAGAAATAGAATTACATTTGCATCTGTTTAGTCTATGAGAAACAAAGAGCCAATTCTTTACCCTCATCCTATGATTTGATAATTCCATTCTTTCTCAGGAAAACAGTTTTATACTTCTCTTTGTTAGAGACCTCATCCTAAGAAGGCACATTTTTGTCTTTCCTTTAACTCTACTTTTTAAAAAAATTTTATAAGTTTTCAGTAGCTAAACTCACTGTTATTCAGCTCACTCTTGCTGTCCCAATAAGACTGAAAGTGGCATCTATCTGTCACACTCAGAACTAATGATCCATTGCTCTTACTACACTTTCTTGGCTAAGAGCCTGTCCTTGCAGGCTGTTCAGAGAGGTCCTCAAGCTGCGTCCCATAGGCCATCAGCAGGATCTGTATCAACTTTGCTTTTCCTGCTTCTTCCCACTTCTGACCCTGTATTTTTTTTTTTTTAATAGATATCTGGATTCTTACTCATCCTCTACACAATCACCGCGCCATTTGAAAGTAAGAGGAAAACAGAAAATTCGGTCTGCACACAGTTGAACAGAAGTTAATGTGCATGCTCTTGACACAGAGGAAACTCTGGACCTCTGTTGCTGCTTTTTTACTATCTTATTTTATACATGTCCTTAACTATCCTGGTGACCCTGCTTCCAAGCCCAGGAGATGTAAGGCATGCATGGGAAGCTGCTGAGATGGGCACACAGGCAATGTGGCAGTAATGGCAGTGGGGAAGACTACAGACCCAGACTCCAGGACCCCCAGCACAGGGCCCAGGACGTGCAGTGCAGGTGATCTCTCTCACCTGACTGAAGGTGTGAACAAATGATGGTGAATGGAATACTTAATATTCATAATTATGACCTTAAGTTGGTTAAGAACAGTTAAACTGTGTCTGTACTGCTTAGTTATAAGTGTTCTAACTAACTGTGGTAATGTGCTCCATTCAGCTAATCCAGGTGGCTTATGCCCCTCCTTTGCCACATCCGTCACTATCAGGGGGTGACACATAGTGCAGAGTGGTTCCCTCGCCACTAGGCCACCAACCTGCTGTATGATTTCATCTGGGCCAGAGCCTGGTCATCGAGCTGGTCACTGTTGGATGCTGCACTCAAGGGCCGATGGTTTTCATCACTAGCAGCAAAAAATGAGGCTCTCTGGACTGAAAGGAGATAAGAAACCATTGAGCACTTTGGAACCACATGCCTGAGTCCTATGTGTAAAATGTCAGCAAATGGTCTATGAGGGCAATCAAGTTTAATCAATATATAGGACTGTATTTGAAATCTTATTTCCTCAACCATTATAATGGAAAATATCACTGTTTTAGCTATAAGAGGATAGTAACATTATAACTTCTCTTTAAAAAGTACCTACTATGAATCAATTTCGAACGCCCACCTTTCCCTGCTCATCAAAGTGGCATTCTAGTAAATGTTTCCCTGGAAAGAGGCCTTGTGCCAAATTTCCAGACCAAGACTTTTTGTACCATTTAGTATGATATAAATGCATTAAAGACCTAGATTTAAACTTCTTGAAACTTCTTACAAGTATGTTTTCCACAAGATGCCTGGCCACTCTGGTGGCCTTTAGTCCATACCACCTGTGTTTCAAAATATCCCAACTTAAAATTTATACGAAGATAACCAATAATTGAAAAATCAGGTTAGTACTGGGGAATTTCCAGCAGCTAAATAATATGCAGGAGGCAGTGGGAGCAGCTATGGATCACTCCACAGTTGTTTGGCTTCTGATTCTAAGCCTTGTAAATTTCCACCCCAAATTGAAACCTGATGGAATAGGAACTTTAATTCTCCCAAATAAGAACAGTAAAAAAATCATTTGCTATCATAATTTTATAAAGAATTATTTTAGCACCCCAAATTGTGGAGTGATATTCTTAGAATCAAATCACTCTTTACTCAAGAATGAACAGTAGACAGCCTTGGGCAGACACTTCGCTGCATTACTTTTTATTAAGTTTTTTTCATTCCAGCAGACCAGTCCCAGTCTGAGGATCTGCATTTAAGAACCACCATCCTAAAGCAAGCACAGAGCCAGCAGGTTGGCAAAGGAACAATGCAGTACTCTGGACTTGGTGCGGTGAGTGAGAAAGGCAAAGGAAGCATCAGGACTTGATGGGGCAGGACACTCATTCTGATACACCCAACTGTGCAGTTTGCAGCAACCCTCTGAATAAATATTCTTTCTAGTCAAGGGAGAGCTGGGATTCCTCTACCCTTTGCCCATCCTACGTGTGGAGATGGCGAGACATCCATGTTATGAATTCCTTGTAGAGGAAATAGCAGGTTCCATCTGATTAATAAAGCATGTGCCCAGCTCAGGGTCTGGCCCTATAGGGTGTTCAAAAGCCATTAGCTCCCTGGGCTGTGGTTGTGCCGGTGAGGTACATGTGCTGTCAGTGTATCCAAGGCAACGGGAAAAACAGACTTGATTACAACTCTGAACACAGCAGCATGGCCCTCAGGGTCCCAGGTTGCCCTGCGTGTATTCCACTGCACTCACCCTCATAGGCTTTGGCAGCATCTACCAAGTTGGACCAGTCCAAATCTGCAGCAGTGTCAGGCAGGGGCATAAGGCCGGGGTCTGGCATAGGTTGCCTTCGGGTCTCCTGGATGTCAGTGAGAGAGCTGTCCGAGGCCGAGAACTCTCCTGCAAAAGGGGACAAGGATCAGAATAGTGCCTGTGTCCACAGGAGAACCACTCGTGAACTTACCCACTTTCCACTATCAAATAATTTGTAAGCCACTCATTACCAGAATCAATGCCTAATCTATCAGGCTGCTAGTGGCCACCCTAAACCTGGCCTAAAATAGGAACAAGCTTCTTCCAGTCTCTCTTCTTTCTCTTTTTCTCTCTTTTTTGGTGGTATTGGAGATAGAACCCAGGGCCTCTTACATGCAAGGCAAGTGTTCTACCACTGAGCTACATCCCCAGCATATTTATTTATTTTTAAATAAATGACAGTGAAATGCATTACAATTCTTATTACACATATACAGCACAATTTTTCATACCTCTGGTGTATATAAAGTATGTTCACACCAATTTGTGTCTTCATACATGTACTTTGGATAATGATGTCCATCACATTCCACCATCATTGCTAACCTCCTGCCCTCTTCCTTCCCCTCCCACCCCTCTGCCCTATCTAGAGTTAGTCTATTCCTCCCACGTCCCCCCTCCCAACCTAACTATGAGTCAGTCACCTTATATCAGAGAAAACATTTGGAATTTGTTTTTTTGAGATTGGCTAACTTCACTGAGCATTATCTTCTCCAACTCCTTCTATTTACCTGCAGATGCCATGATTTTATTCTCTTTTATTCCCAGCCTTTTTATTTTTGAGGCAAGATCTTGGTAAATTGCCCAGGCTGGCCCCAAACTTTCAATCCTCTTGCTTCAGCCTCCCAAGTTGCTGGGATTACAAGGCATGTTCCACTGTGCCTGCTCATTTATAAAATAATCTCCTGCCATCGTTCTCTCAGCGTGAGTCATGGGAACACTAATTATGCGCTGAGGCAATAGGTCTGCTTTTGGGGCAGTTGTCTGTCCACATGGGCTCAGGGTGGCTGTAGTGCTCAACTTTCCCTAATAGAGTCCTGGGATTGAGCTGGGAAGAGCCTACTCCAATGGAGAGCTGAATTTTGAAGCCAGCCCAGGAATGTCTATTTCTTTCAGAGGAGACAATAGGGCATAGTTTTATCTGGACTAGAACCCAGTCTCTGGACTCACACTCAGTCACATCACAGAGATGTGAATCTTCTGCTAGAAAAACACCCAGCTCTCTTTTCCAGAGGCCAAGAGGGAAGAGATGGTGGCTCTGTATTTTCTCAGTCATGGAATAAAAGGCATTCTTAAGTTCAAAGTTCAAGCTTGTGATCCTGCCCTAAAATGAACTGTGTCATTCCTTCTTCTCATTCTAAGTCTACAACAGCTCCAAAGAAAATCCATAGTGGCATGGAGCATGGCACCGGTGAGAGGCACATCCTTGGCCTGTGTCTGCCCTGCATCCCAGGGACGGCCTACTGGATTCCACAGGTGAATGTGCAGGTGGTTTGAGAAGAAAATCAGACAGTGAGTGTGTGAGGGAACTTGTAGGGAACCAACACAGGAAGGGGTTGAAATTGCTCTTTTTCCAAGGACACAGGTCATCCCATCCCATGAGCAGTTCCTTGGATCGGTTTTGGTTACAGCAGTCTAATATCCAGTTCTTTCTAAGGTGACAATTGGTCAAATACAAATATTAAACCATTGTCAACAACTGACACCTTAACAAATAACCTTCCTTCGCCCAGGTGGGGACGAAGGAGCACCACAAGCCCCTCTGTGCCATTTGAGAGCACACTGCTATCGCTCAAGTTCATGGAGGCAGACGGAACAAAGGGGGGACTGAGGGGACCAGAAAAGCATAGCTCATGAAATATAAAGGCCCTCAACAGGCGGATGCTGTATTAGGAACACAGCAGAGTGTGTCCCTCAGAATGTTAGGTAACATTAAAGTCCATGCAAATTCAGAGTAAAAGTAAAACTCTCACATTAAAATCTACGTGACTCTAGAAATACCTGTTTATACAGGGTTAAAAAGTTCTACTTATTATGCCAGCCTGGTAAGCCAGGGTATATTTAGTGCTTGTTTTCCCTTTCAAATTACATAAAGAACCACTCTGAAGTGCAGCTGCTAGTTATTAATGTGCTTAAAATTAGCGAAATTATGAGTAAATGGAAGTCAACAAATACTGCAAGATATTAAATGCTCAGTTCTATTTAAACTTGCTCCCAACAAGGGTAAGTAGGTGGAACAGATGATTTTGTATGTCACTCACAACCCTTCTGCCCTTTTATCTCTGGGGCTCAAATTTCCATATGGGGTATAAATTCAAGACAAAAATCCCTTCCCCACTTCCCAACACCTTTCAGTGGTAGTCTCCAAATGAGTTAAGGTGGCAGGGATTAGCCCAAGGAGAAATGCTCAGTGTAGGACATGATATCACCAAGCTGCCGCCTTTCACAGGAAAGCTAAAGGAGAAGGTGCTGTAGAGGGCAGCCTTTTCTCCCTCTTCCCATGGAGCCCATGGGCTCATTGAGCCTCTACAACCATGCTGCCTCGCTGGGCCATGACCACGTGCGTGGCCAGATCTCCGGGGCTGCGCTCCTTGAATGCCAACCTCTAGAAGGCAGGGCTAGCTCTGACATGCTCACGCAGGCAGGACACAAGGAAGGGCTCTTTTCATTTCTGCAAAGGTCAGAAAAGAAGTGCAAAGAAACAAAAGAACAACTCCAGGTAGAAGGATACCACAGGAGTAATGGAATTCAGAAAAGAAATTCTCCCTTTCTGGCCCGACATGGGGAGAAGAGAAGAGACAAAGGTGAGGGGCATGTTAAGTTACTACCAAGAGCTTTATTTTAGACTCTGATGGTAGAAAAGTGATCATTACATGTTTGAATTTGATTCACTGGGGGTAACTTCCTGGAGCAAAGAAAAAATAGAGAACTTGTATGGGGATGGGATGCAGGGGGAAGATGGCATGCTCCTACTGGGAGTGACAGAGGAGAAGCTGGAATGGGCTGCTGAGCAGGACAGAGACACGGAGGAACATTTGGGTGCGAGAGCTCAAGAGCGATGCAGGGCAGGGTGAGGCTCAGTGGGACAGCGTTTGCCTGGCGTGTGTGAGACCCTAGGTTCCATCTCCAGCACCACCAAAATGAAAAAGAAGGACTGGGGATGTGGCTCAAGCGGTAATGTGCTCGCCTGGCATGCGCGGGGTGCTGGGTTCGATCCTCGGCACCACATAAAATAAAGATGTTGTGTCCACCGAAAAACTGAAAAATAAATATTAAAAATTTCTCTCTCTCTCTCTTAAAAAAAAAAGAAAGAAAAAGAAGTTAGGTCTGGCAAGAGATTTAGAAAATACAGCTGCAGAGAAGGAGAAGGAATGTGGGTTTGATGCACAAAGTGGTATAAAAGCTGCAGCAGAATTTGTAGAAGGAGAAAGGACAGAGGGGGCAGTGGTCACAGCAGTGTGTTTGACGCACCGTCAGGAACACAGGTCCTATAATAGGTGTCTGCGGGGCTGAGCAAGGGCTGTCAGGGGAAGAACAGGACTCTGGGGTGGACTTGGACTGAGAGAAGAGAGAGGAAAATACCAAATTTATATCTGAAGCCCCAGAATATGGCTCTTCCTAAAACTAGAATTTTGTTAGGTCACAGAATAGACACAGTATATGTGAAATAAAGGCAAGAACATGGAAGCAGCCATATTTATAAGCCTTTTCCTTAAATAATGGTTGTTAACAGTGTGAATGGACACATAAAGGTGTCAACAAACAGGGGACAATATCCATACAGCCTGGGGGAGACCCAGGACAACTACTCGACTCCTCTGGGTTCTCAGGGTGGCTGTGGGGGCAGGGAATACAGCTCTTAAGAAGAAATTGATCTAGTGTTAGCAAAATTTGCACAATCTAAACATCAGCTGTGCTGTTTGATAAGAATATAAATTCCCAGATTGTACCTTCAGACCTTAAATCCAGTGTCTTGGGCAAGGTCTAGGAGTCTGTTTTTAACAGGCATCCCAGGTGACTTTTGTGATCTGGGATTCCAGGAGTAGGGGTGAGTGTGGGAGGGGCTGATAAACTGATGCACCCTGATGCAGGGTTTGCTCTCAGCAAAACAATTGGTGGCTCTGTCTGGGACCCTAGGTCATCCAGCTGAAGCTAGGGGAACACTTACCATGCAACGACTTCATTCCTAAGGTGTAGGAAGGCCTCCGCAGCGGGAGAGACTTGGGGAGAGAAGGGTACGTGCTGCTGAAGAGGACATCGTTGGGCAGGGCTTGGTCCAGAAGCGAAGCCCTGGAGGTGAAAAAGTGCTCCCTCTGGCCACTGTAAATGCTCTCGTCAGACAGAGTTCTGTGCAAAGCCCGCCTTGAGGTGGGAGTGCTGGGGAAAGGAGACTGAGGGGAGGACAGCGCGTGGAACTGTAAAACAGTGAATACAGGGAAGTCAGCGTCTGGCTCAGACACCAGAACCCCTCATTTATTCCTCTGTCTTTGAGGAGTAAAAGGAGTCCCCAGTCATTGATTTCCTAAAGCCCAGAAGGCCACCACATCATATCAATACTCCATGTGTGATTCAGACCTGTGACTAACTGGATTAATCAACATGGTGTGGTGGTCAAGAACAAGACTTCAGGACCAGATGAATGCGAATCTTATTTGCGCCCTGTTTCTTTCACCAAATCATGGAATTTCCCTGAGCCCAATTCCTCATCTATAAAATGGCAGCACAACACCTGTTGGGATTGTCAAGTGCATTAGGTGGGGCCCTGAACTGATCACAATGGCACGTATCAGGCCTGTTATGGTCTCCTGTGGGCAGAGCCACCGTGCCAGGAAGAACAGCTTCAAAAGCTTGTCAAGTGATAGCTGGGCAACAAGAGTGTGTAACCATCCAAATTTTATTAACTGAGACCATCGGTGGGTCCTGATAAACACTAACTACCAACAAGCTATACTAATCCAATCTCTCAAGCTAGATGGATTTCAGGAGGTTTGGAAATTAGTTTTTGAAGACATATTTCTATTAATAACAGAAGTTGGCTTTATAAATAACAAATATTTTTACATCAATGGCATAGTTCCAGGCAGGTGTGTCTCTTATGGATGCCTTTTGCCTTGTTGGCCAAATTTGATTTTACCTGAGATCTTTCCACAAATAGCTAAATTTTTGAGAATCGCTTTCATTGAGAAATACACAGACACATTAAGAATGTTTAAAGGGGGCTGGGGTTGTGGCTCAGTGGTAGACCACTTGCCTAGCATGTGTGAGGCACTGGGTTCGATTCTCAGCACCACATATAAACAAATACATAAATAAAGGTCCATCAATAACTAATAAAAAAAAAAGAATGCTTAAATACTCAGTAACCTGAAAGCAAATGGAGCATCTGGCCTGACAGTAATAAGTCATCCTCAACAGCTCCTCCTAGGACACTGTTCACTTTGACAGGGGAGCAAGGTGGAGTGAAGATGTGAGGAGGAGGGCCGAGTCACCTCTGGCAGAAAGCCACAATGGGACTTTCCATGACACTTTGACAGGGCAGAGAGAGGATGATTTAGTGACAGCTCCATTCAGGTGGCTGATGCTACAGACCCAGAAGTACAGAACGGACACTCAGGTTCCCTCGGGAGGTCTGGCGCCTGGCACACTTCCACTCAACAAGCCAAGGGTTAATCAAGTCAGAGCTGCCCCCAGGGTGCTGTGCACAGCTGCTGCACAAATTATTAATCAAACACACTGTAAATAAGCTTAAGGTGTTACCAACTGGATAAAAATGGTGTTCATTTTTAAAAATTCAGGATGAGTTGTTTTAGCACTTTGATTTTAGCAAAGGAATTTCCAAGTATTGTTTCCACCCTGAGGGTTTTACAGAAGAAAAATTCTCCAACAATTCTAGTTTCAGTCTCTTTGGGAAATAATATACTTCAAGATCCTTCAGGCAGTGTGTTTTATTAGAAGCTAAAGCTGAAGGAGCAAGGATTGGAGGTAGGGAAACACCTGCCCAGATGCTCTTTGCCCATTAAAAGATAGCAGACTTAGTCTTATCCAAAAACGTTGGGATGGCCCCTCACTTCATCCCTCTTCAACTCCAGTCTAAAAGTATACAAAACTGCCCATTCCCAAGAATGCCTCGTCTGCTTTGTCCAGGGCCACTGCCAAGTACTGCCAGCCCTTGGCAAACAATCACAGTGATTTCACAGAGCATCCAGGTGGGAGGAAGGGGTTCCCAAACTGTGTTCCAAGGAGCCATGAGGTTCCTTATAGCCCCACTGCTAGGCAAAGAGGTCTGGGTGGGACAGGAACCAAGCCATCCCCACCTCTCCTCTCAGAGCTCAGTTCAACATATTGGCTTTCTCTGTGTGATTCTGTTTTTAAAAAGGACTCCAGAACTTTAATACCTTTTGGAGGCTACTTATCTGTAAATCTGGTCCTCTGTTCCACAGCAGAGGGATAGAACCTAGAGAGGTGACACTTTGCTTCTGGCAAATCTCCTGTTTTAGTCTCTCACTCTTCTAGTGCTCCCCACCCCCCAGCTGTCAGTAACATGTGTCACCTGTACTCACAATAAGCTGGTAACAGCTCTTCCTAAACTGGCTTCTAGCAGAGCCCCTTCCTTTGCTCTATATACCTGGGAGCACTGGTTAGAAATGTATGTATATCTGCCTGACCAAGGCTTGTGAGTGAGGTTTCTTATAACGCTACAGCTCAACCAGCAGGAGCTTGATGGCAGCTGCGTGGGAAAGCTCAGCTATGGCCTGTTGTCCGTGTCACACTCTACTGGCAGGCAAACCTGGGAGTGAGAGCTGCTAGGTACGTGGACCTTCAAGAAAACCACTGTGGCGTTTTGAGTGGGTTCCAAGTCTCACAGCCCAAAGCTGGTCTCCTAAGACCCTGAAGCCCATTACAAAGGCTTACAGCCTGGGATCAGCGGTGGTCTGGAAGACCAGACCAGGGCACGCTGGCCTCACTGACACAGCAGAGCCAGTCACTCAGACAATGACTTCAGAAGACACAGGGAGCAACTTAGCAGAACTCATCTGAAACTGAACCAGCTCAAAAAAGATGAAACCAGTGAGAGAAGAGAGAAAGTGAGCCTGTCCCAGCCCTGCTCCCAGCCCCTCCCTGCAGTGGGCTGGGGCCAGCCTCAGCACTTTCTTTGCAGCAGGTCTCACATGAATACAGTCACAACACAAAGACAGGATACCTCTGCTTCAAATAGGAATGCTAAAGTAATTTACTTTGGAAATAAAAGCCAAGAACTAGAATAAGAGCAAAACAGACATTTGCCTTCAATTATTTCCACTGCAAGAATAAATCAAAAGAATGAGAGCTCTGAGGTTGCTCCTTGCCAAAAATGTTGAACTAGGAATTAGGGGAAAGATTCCTTTCAGGGTAGATTTTATTTTCCTCTGACCTTAGGGAAAAAAAGAAAGAAAGAAAGAAAGAAACTTTTATTTTGAAACTGATATTTAAAAATTTTAATATACTTCCTTGAATTTTGATGGATAAAGACAGAGAAGCACTATCTTTTGCATAGTTTCCATGGAAACCATTTGTACCCTGGATGATGAGTCAGAACTGCTAAGTGCTGACTTCTGAAACAAATGACAGAAGTCAAAATGGTTACATCTGTGACACAATTTAGTAACATAATAAATCATGTTAATAAATCATTAATTTCTGAGCAAAACTCCTGAATGGTCCTTGGGATACATTTTATTCCTGTAAATGTTGATTTTTAAGTTTAGGAGGTACAGCTGACCATTCTGGGGGAGATGTTTGTGTGTGTGCACACACACAGAGGTGATGGGAGAGCCCAGAGGCAGTGAGAGCACAGGGCTCCTTCTACCTGGGCACTTCGTGCCCTCAGATCACAGTGTTGAGTGGGTAAGAAAATAGTCTAGCTTCCATCTTCCATTCATTCTCCAAGTTCTTCTGAAATAAAAGCTTTCTAGTCCCTTCAAACAGACTACAAATCAATGAACTAAGAACCTCAAAAACAGAAACCTTCAAAGTTTACTGCCATGACTTTCTGGGGGCTCCCCAGTATACCCCATAATAGACCTCAGGTCCAGCTCAATAAACACCAACTCCAAACCCTGCAGCATGAGATCGCAAGCTTCAGAGGATAAAGAAGCAGGGTGCCTGCAGGAAGCTGTGCCACCAGTCCTGTGAGCTGAGGCAAAAGGCAAACCTTGCTGTGTGGTTCTACAGAGGCCTGGCCACTGACAAACCCAAATGCCGAACAAGCACTCAGGATTGGTGAAGAGGGAGACTGGGCTTTAGGGAAGGCACTGATGGTCTGGAATCCTGAGAGAGAAACAGAAGCTTTTACAAAGTATAGAGATCTGGAAAGTTCTGGAGGCAAGTATGTATACTTAGTTGGCTGGATGGAGAGGCAGCTGTCTGTTTTCTTTTGGTGCATGCTGATGACAGTGACCACCAGGCACTTCCTCTGGTACTGTGTGTGCCCAGCTGGTTAACTGGCCCATCTGTGAGGTAAGAACCTCATGGGCAGAAGGCACTGAAACCTCTATGGAGAATTTTCTAGCTGACAAGGGACCTATAGGATTCTCTGAAAAGTTCTGTGAAGTAGCATCATGTAGTTGAAGACCGAGGGATTATGCACTTTGAGTAGGGCACACTAGAAGAAAAAGCTGATGGCGGGTAGAGTAGGTAAATAGGAGCCAAGACTTCAGAGATGGCTGTGGCAGTGAAATTGGGAAAATACCTGGGAAAACTGGGAAGGGGGATCCAGAGAAGAGGAACCAGCAATCAAACTCTAGGGTAGCTGTAACTAAGGCTACAGCCCCCTCAAATTTGACTTCTAATTCCCATCCACCCCATGCTCTGTCTCATACCTTAAAATTCTTCTGGGATTCAGGAGTTGGGCTTTCAAGGTCGATGAGCTTCTTTAGATCCTCCTCAATGGTGGACTTGGAGGTTGGCTTGGGGGACGCCCGGAGGTCCCTGGTTGAGGCCCGCAGCCTGGTGTGGGCTATTTCACTGCCATCACTCTGATGGCGCCTGGGAAGAAGGAGAGAGATGTGGAAACACAGTCAACAGGCCAACCCAGCCATGGTGGGCTCTGAAGGCTGAGAGAAATACTAAAGATGGGAGAAGAGAACCACTCCTGTTTACTTCAGAATGCATTCATGGGAATGAAAAACCAACTTGAAACACAAATTAAAGTCTGATGAATAAATCATTCTTCTTCAGGAAACTATTGGTTCTACTGAGCCAAAATTAGCATCAGATTCACTAAGACCACAAATGCAACCTTCAAAGGAATAAAAGCAAAACTGAATGAACTGTTTAATTTTTTACTGTACCACTGTGTCAAAAAGTCCTATATTTCTGGGCACAGTGGCACACACCTGTAATCCCAGAGACTCTGGAGGTTGAAGCAGGAGGATCACAAGTTCCAGGCCAACCTCAGCAAATTAACCTATTGAGGCTAAGTTGAGAGCCTGTCCCAAAATAAAAAATAAAGAAAGGTTGGGAATGTAGCTCAGTAAAGCACGTCTGGGTTCAATCACCAGTACCAAAAAAAGAAAAAAAGAAAAAAAAAAAGAACTTTCTTCTCAGGGGTTCTCACTAATTTCCAATTTGCTGTACTGGCACAGTTATGAAGAATTCCAGCCTGGCTTGGTGGCACACAGTAGAATCCTAGATACTTGGGAGGCTGAGGCAGGAAGACTATAAGTTCAAAGCCAAGGGTTTGAACTCAGCAACTTTGTGAGGCCTTAAGCAACTAGTTAGACCCTGTCTCAAAATTTAAAAAAGGGCTAGGAATGTGGCTCAGTGGTCAAGGGTCACTGGATTCAATCCCTGATACCTTAAAATAAAAAAGAACACATGGGAAGGCTGTGGTTAATGGAATCAAAACCACGAGTATAGACTGAGCACCAGTCAGTTATTCTGAAGAACACCCTTCAGATATGTTCTCTCCTAGGAGGGCTAAGCCTCCCAAATTCAAATGTTCTGCGGTTCATCTTATTCAAGGAATGAGGCAGAAAAATAATTTAAGAAAAATAAAATCCACCCACCAAACATGCTCTCTATACCCCTAGCTTGATCTCCTTGACTCTAAGAAATCCCCCCACCTTTCCCATTCTCTGCCATGTTGAAAGAAAACCACTGAGCAAGAGAAGCAGGCCTCTTACTTTCTTGTGTCCATGAATCCCACAGAGTTAATGGTTCCTTCAGGTTTTTTCCATCCAATCAAGTACTTGCTTGTAGCGCCCTGGCGAGGGTAGAACGTCCTAGGACCGGAGGAAGAGGAGGAGGAAGAGGAGAAGGAAGGCGCAAGCTGTGAGGCGCTGGCGGGGTGAAGCTCCTCCTTTGGTGAACTTCGGGCACTGGAGAACACAACCGGGCTGGCAGAGTGCCGGGAGCTCATGGTACTGTGGAGCAGAACAGAGATAAAACTACTTAAGAGTGCATCCCAGGGCCACTATGCCAACACAGAAGTGGAGTCAAGGTTGGGGTGGTGGCAGGGTGAAAGCACCATAAAGGTTTCATAAAATATTAATGGGGCTGGCTGGCTGGCCTTCCTTGCCTTCTCACTAGAATTTAAATGTCTACTCAGAGTGACAAATGGTTACTGAGGCTTGACATATACTTAAGCTAAAAAACAAAAACAGTTGAGACCATCAAATCCAAAAGTGGCAAATGACATCAGGAAGGGCCTGGCAGGTCTGGTGCCTTCCCCATGGCATCTGGCCTTGATGTTGACTCCAAAAAGCTCTTTATCACCAAAGTACTTCCGACTGGTTAAACATCACAAAAGTAAAACTTACAGAAATAAAGGAGTCCCAAACTCAGAGGTTTCAAAGGAGCTTCAAAACTGAAAGAGGCAGAATTTTCAAAACCAGGGATAAGAACTGAACATTACTACAAATGCGGATTCCACACTTCCTTCCCAGTGATCTCACAGTACCCAGATTTACAGTTTGAGCCCTGCTAAGTTCTCCAGCATAGGAAACCAAGGACAGGTGACTTGTACCATAATGGGCTTTGGGTTGCTTGAGGTGTAATTAATAGCAGGCGGTCCAGAAACATTCTTCGGTGGCACTTCCATTTGTCAAAAGCTAATGGTCCTGAGCTGAATAAACATGAACCTTGTTAATAATGTATCAGTATTGATTGCTCAGCCATGATAAATGCACTATAGTGATGTGAGGATGATGACGGGGACGTGGTGAGATGCACACGGGAAGTCTAGACCGCCTCTGCAACTTTCCTGTAAATCTGAACCTATTCTAATATCTAAAAACTTATTATGCATATCCAATAACAGGCTCCTGTCCAAATTACAACTACACTCCTAGGACTCAACAAGACAATGCAGTAGAAAGATGGCAATGATTTGAAGAGCAACTTCAAGAGGGGATATCTAACAAACCTATAAACACTGGTGCTCAACATCATCAATTACCAGGAAAAGGCAAATTAAATCCACAAGGGACCACTACATACCCCCAAGAATGGCTAAATTAAGAAAGGATGCCAGAAAGGATGCGACACAACTAGACCTCTCGTATACCATTGAGTGGAATGTTCCCTGCTACTGCCACTTTGGCAAACGAGTTCACAGCCTCTACACTGAAGGTATGTACATCCGACCACGTAGCACTTACTCTCTATAAACTTAGAAAAAATCATACAAATGTCTAGCAAAGGACATGTCTGAGAATTTGTAAAATCCCCACCTAAAAACGAAAACGATCCAGGTGTTCATGAACAGTAGAATGGGTAAATGAACTGTAAAAATGTCCTCATAATATAAATGTAAAAGAGCAAAGGAAACAAATACTACCCATGACACATAGATAAATCTCACCAACATGTTGTCTTAAAGACACCAGACACAGAATAACATGTACAAAATGATTCTATTGGTATAAAGTCCAAAATGTCAGCAAAACAAGTCCATGATTTCTGATTGAACACTGTGCTTACCGTGGGGAGGAAGCAGAGTGACTGGGGATGGAACAGGGACAGTGCGGTGTGTGGGGGTTGGTGATGTTCTAGTTTGTGATGTGGATAATAATTGGGTGGGTAGGTACACTTTGAAAATTCAACTGTATACACTTATCATCTTTTTCTGTATGAATGGTATCCTTCCATGAAAACCTACCTGCAAAAAGTCAATAACCTGAAAGGAGTCCAGGAGGCTAAGCCCACAGAAGGGTAAGACGTGGGGGAAGCAAAGCCCATCTGGAGGGCTTTCCATACTAATGGACTCTTATTATCTCAGACCAAATATAATTACCTCCTTTATTTTTATAACTAACAGGGAAGAAATGGGCTGAAACTTAAAACACAATTTTTAAGAAACAGCTAGTCTCACCCTGTCCCCACGCCCCAAATATTATTCCAGCTAGACAAAGTAGAAGAAAACCTCAAAAAACCTCAAAGGGCAACATAAATTGAAAAGCGATGCAACCTTACCTCTTGAAAATGAATATCCCATCTGTTTGCTTTTAAAATTAAGAAAAGGAAATGCAAAACTCTTCCACAAGTGCAGTGTATTAAGTCAATAAGGAAAAAATAATACTAGATTTCTATTATGGAAGAGACTCAAAGTAGAAAGATGAACCAAAAGAAAAAAGAATGAAGAGACTGACAAGCTCACAGAGTGGCACTGAGTCACCAGAGACCCCAAGCACACATTAGCAGGGGAATATCTCCAGAGAGACTTTGGAAACAGAGTGCAGTCTTGGGCATAATTTAAAACAAAGGGCAGGCTTGTGACAAATATATGTTACTCAGAGACAAGATTTAATCTTTGCTTTGCAGATTTTTTTCCCCCATTTTATCTACACTTGTAGATAGAGAGATGCCTCAATCCCCAGCCCTGGTTGAAGCAATTCCGTGAAAATGAAAAATGGTGGATCAGGATCTAACTTACACAGCTCTCATCCTGGATGACCATGTACTTGTTTAACTATCTATTATGACTGGCATCCATAAGTGAGAGCAGGTATGTTAAATTGCTAGAGCCAGTTCCCAACGTCAACATGTTAAAATACAGACTGCTGCCCCCTCCAGAGGTTCTGACTCAGTAGGTGGGATAGGTTGGAGGGGGCATGAGAATTCACACTTCTAGTGCATTGTTTCCAGGGCATACTTTGAAAACTGCTATTCCAGAGGTATATTTAATTGCCAGATTTCACATTGATCAACATCAAATTATCTTGATATGATAACACTAGTATTCAAAAGTCCTGGGGCTTTTAAAGACTAAATGCTTGGTCAAAACATTGGCCAGGAGAACAGAAAGTATAATGCCCAGCCCATTAGTTTACAAATGATTCCTTCATGTGGTACAAAACAGCTATGCTGGTTTTAGCAATAATATATGTATTGCAGAAAAGGAGAGTTAAAGAGCAGACTTGGAAAGGTCCAAGGAGACAGCAGTATATACACTATAGTTTTTGGAGCTCTTTCTGTTCTGCATAAATTTAATTATTACCATTATTTCCCTAATAGGCATTCAATAAATGCTTGTGCTTGATTATATACTCTTCAATGGCAAGAATTTATCAATGCAAGGAACACATGAGATTACCATTAAATATTTGTTGAGCTAAGTATTTCTCCTTACCATTTGTTACTAAGCAGAGTACTCTACATTTAATTTCTTTACTTTGGTTATAGTCTGTCTCCCCTGTTTGAAGGGAGATTCCTGAAATTTTTCCTGTCTTGTTCATTAGTACATTGCCCATGCCTAGAAAAGTCCCTAGCAACTGCAGGCATTCAATGTATGATTTAAGAAACTGCCAAATAAATGATATGTTAGCAATCAGGTTTTACTGGGGGGGGAGGTGTCTGGGAATCAAACTCAGGGGAGCTCTGCTATGGAGTTACATCCCCAGTCCTTTTTATTTTTTGAGACAAGGCCTTGCTGAGTTGCTAAGGCTGGCTTAGAACTTGTGATCCTCCTGCCTCAGCCTCCTGGGCTGCTGGGATTTTAGGTGTGTGCCACCATGCCCATCAGAAGTCAATCTTTAAATATAAGGACGTATTATGCATGCAGATGGTGTATTTTACTAACTGTATTTAAAACTAGATGTTGCTTTATTTTTATTGTGAGAAACAAATCTATAAATGATGCTTCTGTTTACAAGTGTATAAGTACTTAAATAAGACCACTGAAGGGCTGGGGATGTGGCTCAAGCGGTAGCGCGCTCGCCTGGCATGCGTGCCGCCCGGGTTCGATCCTCAGCACCACATACAAAGAAAGATGTTGTGTCCGCCGAAAACTAAAAAATAAATATTAAAAAAAATTCTCTCTCTCTCTCCCCCCCTTTCTCACTCACTCTTTAAAAAAAAAGAAAAAGACAAAGGAGAACATTAAAAAGGTGCATTTAAAAAAAAAAAAAAAAGACCACTGAACCTGGCCACTGGTTTTATCTATGAACATGATGGCTGATACTAGCTCCCAGGTGTGACATGCCAGCACACTTCTGTTACTAATACTTAGACAGGTCTATTTAACAATTGATTAGATTTGTGAACAAAGGCACATGTAAAAACAAATGAACAATTAGTTGGTGTGGCTTCCTTCTTAATATATACAATTCATGGCATGAGAGGAGCACACAGTAGGCAGACGAACTTCACCTGGGAGCTCTTCTGAACAGTGCACTCTTGTGCCCTAATCCCAAAGATGTTGATGCAATACAGCTGGGGAGGTACCTAGAAACTGGACAAAATCTCTCCCCAGGTATGAATGCTAATGGAGGATTACTGCTCGAATCCAGCTGAACCCTTCCTATTGTTATGACTTGGTCAAAATCCAGCTTCCTACTTCTCTGGGTCCAGCAGGTGAAGCCATGGGAACAGTGTTTCTAAAGGCATGGACTGTGGTATCTGCAGGTGATGATGTACATGCAGGGCCCTGAGCTAATGTCAGATCTTCTAAAGCCCCAGAAATCTGTATTTTCAAATGTCTCTGAAGGAAACTCAGGTTTCCTAGTGTTTAAGAGCTACTACATTAGCCTGTAAACTTCTCACACTCTTGGGTCTTTCTCCTCTTCCTCCTGTGGTTCCATCCTTGGTCAGCTGTGGGTGGGCCTTCCTGAAGCTGACAACCCTATAGCCTCTAGATCACCTCAAGGTGTGTACCCACACATTGCACCTAAGTTTCTTTGAAATGGGTTTAGTTACACTACAATGGACATGAGGTTGACAGCTCCCTGATTTTTAAGGGGAACTGTCACTGGGCTGTTTGATTATCCTGGAGATTTCATGTTAACTCAATATGCTGCAATTCTATTACCTATGATGACTTTCTTGGAATTGTCTAAGAAGGTAATGAACCAATAAATATGGAATAAAAAGAGCAAAACTTATATTGGAACTGACAACTGCAATACTTGTTCCTTTTCTTACTGTG